ACCCCAACAAACAAACAAAAACAAACACTGACTAACAAAAACAAACAAAAACACAAACACAACACAAACACACCCCAACAAACAAACAAAAACAGGATGCAATACTCCATTCCATTTAATATAATCTAACCTTGGTAGTCCATCAACATTTTCCATTCTTTCAAGTTTATTGACCATTTCTTCACTGGAAGTACACAAATACAGTAGACTTGATTATCAAGTAATAATTACGGTAGGTATAAACTTTATTTGATCTGATGATGAGACGTGTAAATTGTGTTGAAATGTTATGTGTTTAATATTTTTATTGAAGAAGTGTGTTTATTCTATAATATTGTGTTTGTTATTTGTACTCCTCACTGACTTCTAAATATCCTTCAAGTCAAAGTGACAGTTGTTTTGGTAGGCTATATATATATATATATTAGTGAAGACGAGAGAGAAAGTCTGTGTAAGAAATGGATTTTAAAACAACAAAGTGAAGCAGTAGAATATTAAATGAGTTTATAGACTATGGAACATGAAAAATGATTGATTCTACAATTCTAAAATTCGGCAAAATATTCATACTTACGTTGGTCCGTTACCTCCATCTCCGTAACCATAGAGATAACAACTCCGCCCAGATCTACCTTTATCACGATAATTCTTTAACGTATATATTAACTACAATCAAATATATCTATTTCAAAATTTTTAACAAACATTAGGTTCAAAAAACCACAACAAGTATGGCTTTTTTATCATCTTTATTGTAAGTTTTAGGATTAAAAACGTAGAAAATAAACAGAATACATGATTAAAATTGATTTAAGTCGTTGTTTTTTAACAGGAAAGGAAACAAACATTGAAAAATAAATAAAAAATTTGTCTTTAATCTAAGGGACTGTTTGATTGATGAGAACTACATGTAATCAATAGAAAGTTTAATAAAACAATTTAGAATTAAGAATAGGTCCAGTGTGCTGTAAAAAAGTAAGTATTGTGAAAATGGTGGAGAAAGACACATAGAAGGGTAAAATCTGAATGTGACTGAATCTACTTCTTTACCGTTTAATTGAGGCTAGACTTGAAACACACAGAATTAGTTCAGAACTCTTCAAATTAAGCCCCATCAAAATCTTCTTCAGTTCAACAGAGATTGATTCATTTACAGTCGATTTTATATAAAATCAAATAGATATAGATTTTTGGCTCTTAAAAATTGTCACAAATAAGTTCTCTGGGCATTTAATTCTTCACATTTTCTGAGTACAAAATCTGAGCCCCAGCACCAATTCATTCCTGGTGATGAGGCTGTCTAACAGTAAAATTAATGAGTTATATTATAAGAGATTAGTTTACTAGACTATATATATAAAATAAACAGAGTTAAAAATAAATAAATAATGAAAATATGAAATGTTAAAAGTTTCTGATGTTACGTTAAACAGAACAACATATAATTGATAATACTAGACCAGATTTTCCCCTAACAAACTGGTTTTTTATCAAATAAACTATAACTATTATAATCATAAATAAATAAATAAACACCAACCGTTGTTGACATTATGGTGTTAAGTCTCACCCTACTGACAGGAAGTGACTGTAGATACGTGCGGAAAACAGGAAGTGAATTAGTATCTAGGGACGCGATACCTCACTTGACGATGATCGAGGTTGAAGTCGTATTGACTGGAGAACTATAATGTGGTGAATTAAATTGAAATAAACATCATAATCAGTGCAGCCCCAATTGTAACCAAAATATGTATCAGAATGCACAAAATCAATTCATTTTTTCTAAAAAAAATTCTTGAGAGAAGCCTCTAAGACACTCTATGAGAGGCTTGCTACTATGATACCACCAGTACGGCAGTAGTCAAAATTTGAATTCAGCCTCAGTGAATAAGTCTGCCCCCTATTTGTATCCCCAATCTCAGAAGGCTGGTGCTGCCAAAATATACACGTGTCGTCATTACATCTGATGATGACACGTGTATATTGTGTTGAAACGTTATGTGCCCAACCTTATTAAAGAAGTGTGTTATATTCCATACTATTGTCATGTGTTTTTGTTATATGTGCTCCTCGCTTCTATATGTCGTTCAAATCTTATATCAAAAACCCTTTAAATCATGTTCTGTGAAATGTTGACAATTCAAGCTAATGTTTAACAATATACATCCCACAATTCATAACATACCATAGAAATCTTTTATAGAACAGAGCTTTTGATTGGTTGAATATTATATGACCCAGGACATGAGATTAAGAACAATATTGTTAGATCATAGATAACTTGTAGTTACAGGTTGCATTAGCAGAAAAACACGAACCATCCAGATTTGCACTTTTATCACATTGTCACGAGGCTTACCTCTTTAACTTTAGAAACCATGTGATACGAGTCTCCCGGAGGAAAATGGGTCAAAACCCGCGACCCATCAATACCGTTCCACCAGAAAGTATGGTGCTAGTGACAGATAAATAAACAAAACAAAGAAACAGGTAAATAAAGAAAAGTGCTAGTAAACATAGAAATACTACAATCTACAAACTAACATGCAAACTTCATCTAGCCATTCTCAATGTTTATCAAAACTAAAGTGGATTTCATAATTTTTTCTGAAGTGTCTAACATAATAACAGCCATTTTCTACGAGAATAATTTCTTTAGTTTGAGGATCCTGTTGACCAGTTTATTTTTAACTAATCCTCTTGTCATTAATCTTTACTGGATTATTCGTAGCCATTTACAGCTGGGTCGACTGGGATAATGAGGAAAGATGACTTATTTAGGTCACTAGATTCAGGTTACTCGCTGACCAAGATTAGAACCCCCGACCACCTTGAACTATTTTCAATTTAACCATGCAAATGTTATCATGTAAAAGTTCAATGTTTGAATAAGGAACTAGATGTCTTGTTTATCTTAATTGCAGATTAATTAGAGGTCAGATTAATTTTAAAAAGTGTTAAGGATTGTTAAAATTGAACTCTATCCACTGGATGAGCCAAAAGTTAGACAATTGCTTGAAAATATTTCAAATTTTCAACAAAATTCTTTTTTTCTTTTTTACAAAATTTATCAAAAATATCTAGTTTAATCTAATAGTTCGAGATAAGCATTAACAATGACTGAGATGAAGTAAACCAGGGGAGACAACTCCAATATACCTGTTTGACTCGACACTCCATGGCATAATTATCGCCTGGAGGAAAATGAGTCAGAATTTTTGAACCGTTTAAACCTGACCACCAGAATGTATGATGCTGAAATGTAAAATGACATGGAAATTCTTACATTTAAAATTTATTTTGTGATTCAAAGTCACAATATCTAGAAATCGTAATGACACTATGAATTAAACTTAAATCAGGCAAAAAAACATTACATAAATCCAGCTAAAATTACAGAAAACTGTTCATAATTACAGCTAATTGAATAATCAGATTATGGATAATTTCAAAAATAATTTGGAATCTACGATTTTACAATCTAACAAAAAGTCTGTGAAGACAAATCCATGAGTTTTATCTTCTATAAAAATAAACAATTTGACTGAACAGTAAAAATATAGACATTATTCACACCTTATTTATTGAAAGCGAGGTTCATCACGCAAATTACTTTATCTATTGAAAAGATGGCAACGTCATATGAAGATGTGATGTCATTAAACACCCGATCAACAGCGAGAAAATGGGAGTAAACCTGCCCTTTCTCAGAAATATGTTTAGTTAAACTTCATCTGAAATTATCATTTAATAGCTCAATCAATTCTGATGTTACTGATGTCAAATTTGATTAGTTTTGAGTTACTATGACTGGAGAGGGAAGGCTTTGAAGACGTTTAGGTGACGATATACTGCAGAGAAACTCTGTTACCTTTGTTTGTTTGCATCATGAGCCTCGTTCTGGATTCAATATGGCTGGCATATGAATAAGGTCTAATTTCATCAAGATATTATCAGAGAATGGAGTGAAAGTGAATCATCCAAACATAAAACTAGTAAAATGTTGGAATAAACTTACAGGAAATTTATTAAAGATGTTCCAGGAGAGTTTCTGGGTGAGAAATCTAGAGATTCCACATTGTTCCATTATCTGAGGCAACTGAGCAGAATAACCAAACGTGTCTGGCAACCAAAACTAGGAAAAATAACCACAGATATTAACACTGTAAGAATCTGGGGGTTAGAGGATTTCAAAGACTTAAAATGGTCGTCAAGTAAAACTAAATATCAGATTTTTTATCATATTTTTTAAAATCCGTCCATTCTTTAGGGGGCTTGTTTTGAATGAATGATTTGATAAGACACATTAGTCCCCTGGTTCCCATCCTGGGGTGTTTTCACCCCCTGGGGTTGTGGGACTAGGGTGTCAGGTGTGTGGCCAACTGTTGTAGGAGAATGATTTATTTTTAATTGAGAGAGCACCTCATATCACCACATGCTGGAAATGTGGATGAAACAAATTTTTGGGTGTGTGAAAGGTCCAGGTGATTGCTCCAGGGGGTGTAAAGGTTGGGAACCACTGTGTTACCTCATCTTGTTTTAAAAACTACCATGTTTTTTTAAATATTGTCTCGTAGATGTCCTTTTATTACGTCGCTAAAAAATAGTTATTGGATTTATACATATAGTTTATTTTACATTTCAATTTTGTTTACTGCCTGTTTTAACTGGAATCATAAAATACCATTTACCTCTTTACAAACAATTCCAAATTCTTTTAGAAAATATCTTTGTCCATATAAAAACTGTCGAACGAAAGCTTCTCCACTAGGTATGTTACCATCCTTTATAATAAACACAATAAACACTAATAAATACCAGTTTTATCTTACA